CTAAACATGGTCCAAAACTCCAGTTCCAGGGGATCTGACACCCTCTTCTGACCTCCATGGGCGTTACACCACATGGTGCACTTGCAAACATGCAGGCAATACACATACACATAAATATAAAAATTAAAATAAGCCGGGCGTGGTGGCGCACGCCTGTAGTCCCAGTACTTGGGAGGCAGAGGCAGGCAGATCTCTGTGAGTTCAAGGCCAGCCTGGTCTACATAGTGAGTTCCAGGACAGCTGGGCTAAAGGGAGACCCTGCTTCAAAAAGACCAAAAATAAAAAAAAAAAAAGTGATTTAAAAAAAATGTGGGTGTGATGGTTACAGCCTGTAATTCCAGCACTCAGGAGGCAGAGGCAGGTGAATCTCTATGAGTTAAAGGCCAGCCTGGTCTATCAAATAATGTATCTCAGTGATAGAGCACTTGCCTAGCATGTATGTGTAAGGTCCTGGATTAAATCCCCAGAAATGCATAAAACAAAACAAAAAAACCCACATACTTTAGCAGGGCATGGCAGTGCATGCTGGAATTTTCAGCACTTGGAAGGTGGAGACAGGAGGATCAGTACTTCAAGATTGTCCTCAGCTACTTAGGTAACTTGAGGCCATACTGAGCTATGAGAAACATCTGAAAAAAAAAATGAACAAAACAAAACCAAAAAGCAAAGTAATAATACTTGGGCTATGAATATATCAGTGTGGACACATGCCTGGCATGGTGGGGGTCATGGATTCAGTCCCTAGCACTGAAAAAAATGTGATATATCTACTTTCAGTTTCTTTTTTATTTTTATTTTATGTGTATTCCTGTATTGCCTGCATGTAGGTAAGTGCACCCTACTGTAGGTTGTGCAATGCCAGAAGAGGCTGTTGGATCCCCTGTGACTGGAGTGCGGCACAATTGTTAGCTGCCATGTCAGTGCTGGGATTCCAACCTAGGTCCCAAGTGCTGCCTCCCAAGTGCTGAGATTAAAGGCGTGCACCACCACGCCCAGCCCTATTTAATATTTTTATTTTGTGTGTATGAGTATATTGCCTGCATGTATGTGAGTGCACCCGTGTGGTGCGATGCCACGGAGATCAGAAGAGGGCGTCGGATTCCCCTGGAACTGGAGTTAAGGGCGGTTTGTAGCCGCCAGGTGGGTGCTAGGAATTGAACCCGGGTCCTCTCCAAGAGCAGTCAGTGCTCTTAACCACTGAGCCATCTCTCCAGCCCCATCAGTTTCTTTTTTAAAAAATCGCCTGTAGTCCCAGCTCTTGGGAGGCAGAGGCAGGCAGATCTCTGTGAGTTCAAGGCCTGCCTGGGGCTACAGGGAGACCGTCTCAAAAAGACAAAAAAAAAATTTTTTTAATATTTTACCAGGCTGGCCTTGAACTCTCACAGAGATCCGCCTGTCTCTGACTCCTGAGTGCTGGGATTAAAGGAATGCACCACCACGCCCGGCCAACAGCACCCCTTTTGAGGTTCTACTTTCCATGTGCCAGTTTCTTCTAAGTACTTCTGGAAAATCAGCTCACCTGAGTGCAGGTGACCCAGTTGGAAAGCTTGCTAGGATTCTCTAGTAACTGCTAATACCTGCTGCTCTTTTTTATTTTTATTACTTTTTTAAAAATTTTACTTTTATGTGTATGTGTGTATTGCCTTCGTGTAGGTAAGTGCACCCATGCCGTGCAATGCCCACAGAGGTCAGAAGAGGCTGTTGGATCCCCTGAGACTGGAGTTACAGACTCCAGTTGTTAGGTACCATGTGGGTGCTGGGATTCTAACCCGGGCCTTCTGCAAGAACAACCAGTGTTCTTAACCGCTGAGCCATCTCTCCAGCCCCAAGAGTATTAAATGCTCTTAAATGTTGTGCCATCTTTCCAGCACTGCCCCCCCACTACCTTTTTTGTTTTGTTTTGTTTGGTTTGGTTTGGTCTATTTGAGACAGGTTCTCCCTGTAGCCCCAGCTGTCCTGGAACTCACTATGTAGACCAGGCTGGCCTTGAACTCCCAGAGATCTGCCTGCCTCTGCCTCTCAAAGGCTGGGATTAAAGGCATGTACCACCACGCCCGGCACTACCTTTTTTTTTTAAAAAAAAAGATAAAGTCTCACTCTTGTCCAGGTTGCTCTGGAACTCATCATGTACCAGACTGGCCTCAAACTTGGGGTGACCTCCCTGACTGTGCCTCTGGGGTTACAAGCATGAGCCACTGCTCCTGGCTTCAACTTAAAAAAAAAAAAATTTTTTTTTAACCAATTTTAATGCTCTGGGACAAAAACTAAGTTTTAAAAATACATAAAAAAAGAGCTGAGGGCCGGGCGTGGTGCCTTCTTCTTCTGGCCTCTCTGGGCATTACACCTATGGGTGCACTTACATTCATACAGGGAAAACACTTATACACATAAAATATAAATAAATAAGCCGGGCATGGTAGTCCATGCCTTTAATCCCAGCACTCAGGAGGTAGAGGCAGGCGGATCTCTGTGAGTTCAAGACCAGCCTGGTCTACATATCAAGTTCAGGGTCAACTGGAACTACAGGGAGATCCTGTCTCAAAAAGACCAATAATAATAATAATAATAATAAATGTAAATAAATAAAATTTAAAGAAAGAAGGAAATTCTGACATACGCTACAACATAGATAAACCTTAACATTATGCTAAGTGAAATAAGCCCAGTCACAAATAGACAAATACTATATGATTCTACTTGCATAAGGTATGTGGCCAAAATCAGTGACAAGACTAGAATGTGGTTGCCAGGGGCTGGAAGGAGGGAAGAATGGGAAGTTACTATTTAATAGACAGAGAGAGATGAGACTGGAGAGACGGTTCAGTGGTTAAGAGCACTTGCTGCTCTGCCGGAGGACACAGGTTCAGTTCCCAGCACCCATGTCAGGTGGCTTAAAACTGCCTGTAACTCCAGCTCTAGGGTATCCTGCACCCTCTTCTGACCTCCATGGTACCTACACATATGGAACACACACACACACAGATACACACAAAGACACACACACACAAATAAATAAATAAATAAATAAATTAATTAATTAATTAATTAAATAGTTAAGATGAGGTTGGTAAGATGGCCCATCTGGTAAAAGCACTTGCTGTACAAGCTTGACAGCCTGAGTTGGCTCCTTGGAACCCAGGGAAAAAAGCTGAATGCAGTAGATCTCATCTGTAATCCCAGCACTCCTATGGCAAGGTGGGAGGCAGAGACAGGAGAATCACCTAATAGCTGTAGCCAACATAGCAAAAGCAAGAGAGACTGCCTCAGACACAAGATAGAAGGAGAAAAGAGACTCCCAAATTTGTCCTCTGACCTTCACATATGGGTCATGGCATACACATGCCCACATTCATATTCTGTTTCTCTCTGACATACACTAACAATAAGTTAAAAACTATAAATGGTTGTCAAGCGTAGTGGCACATGCCTTTAATCCCAGCACTTGGGAGGCAGAGGCAGGTAGATCTCTGTAAGTTCGAGGCCAGTCTGGTCTACATAGTGAATTCCAGGACAGCTGGGGCTACAGGGAAACCTGTCTCAAAAAAGACAAAACAAAACAAAACAAAACAAAACTATAAATGATTAAGATAGCAAACTCTATGTTACATGTATTTTACCACCCAAAATGGGGGGAAAAAGAAAACATATATAGGAACAGATATTTTTCTTTATGCTTTAGGTCCAAATATATCTTGGCATGAGTCTCTTGAATCCTCTGTTAAACTGAATTTTAATATTTTGTTCGTTGTGAATTTTTGCATTTTAATTTTAAAATTTAATTTAATTAATTAACTTATTTACTTTGCAACAGGCCTCCCAGTACCTCAGATGGCCTGGAACTCACTGTGTAGACCAGGCTTGGCTCGATCTCACAGAAAGCCACCTACCTCTGCCTTCAGAGTGCTGGGATTAAAGGTGTGTGCTACCACACTTGGCTATTCTGATTTTTTTAAAGTTTTGTTTATTGTTATTATTATTGTGTATATATGATGTGTATGTGGTCATATGAGTGCCACAGTGTGAATGTAGAGGTCAAAAAACAGCTTTGTAGAGTCAGCTTTCTCCTTCCATCTTTTTTTTTTTTGTCTTTTTGAAGCAGGGTCTCCCTGTAGCCCCAGCTGTCCTAGAACTCACTATGTAGACCAGGCTGGCCTTGAACTCAACAGAGATCCGCCTGTCTCTGCCTCCCAAGTGCTGGGACTACGGTTGTGTGCCACCACACCTGGCTTCTCCTTCCATCTTTATGTGGGTTCTGGGGATCGAACTCAGGTTGCCAGTTTTACGTGGCAAGTGGTTTATCTGCTGAACCATCTCACTGTCCCTAATCTGACTTCTTAAAAATGTTCCATTAATACGTTGCTTATCTTGATTACTGAATATTTTGGTTCCCGCTTTTGCACTGGAGATGAGTGCCTCACTTGCCTCCCCCTAATCTTAGCTAGAATCATGTCCCAGGTTCAAGAGTGTCAGTAACTCTTCATCACCTTCTGGAAAAAGCACAGGACCTCAGCATTTGCACCTGCCCACTGTCTCCCCACCCCATCCTTATCCCTACTCCTGCTCTACTCCTGTGCCCACAAGTCCATGTGCTCAGACCTCATGCACTCTACTGTTCCTGTCAGATGAGCTTCCACTTCAAAACTCCCTGCTGCTGGGTGTGGAGGCAAACCTATAACCCCAGCACTCAGATGTTGAGGCAGGAGGATAGTGCATTCAAAACCAGCCTAGCCTACATAGTGAGACACTGTCTCATTAAACAAACAGAAAACTCCCTGTTGGTCTGAGACTGTCCCAGTGGACATTTTCCATAGCCTCCAGCCTCTGCCAAGAGGCATGAATTGGACCCATATCGCCAAGATACACCCCCACCACACCATGTTAGACCACTTTCCCTTAGAAGGGTCATCTTCCTACTTCATGTCCGGTACTGGGCACTTAATAAATGTCCCAGGACTCATGGTAATTAAGCTTCTCCCTCCAACCCAAGAAAGGACAAGAGACCTGGTGCAAAGGTTTATTGCTGAGTCTGTGTGTCCAGCTAAGGGAAGTACAGATTATGTCCTAACTTTGCGGGACAGAAGTTCCTTGTCCCCAACTGTAGCACCGGTTCTGGTCCTTAGGCATAAGCAAAGTCTTGGTGCTTGATGCAGAAAGTAGAAGGAGGAGGGGGCAATGAGCCTTTGTCCCTAAAAGTTCAGGCATGTTTTTTCATTCTCCCTTCCAAGGAATGGGTCCTGAATGGACAGGGTAAAAGAAGCTGTTTCAAGGGCAACAGGGCCACGTGGGATTGCCTGTAACCTCACCTAGGATAGACTTTGGGCACAGTCTGGGCCTCCACCTTATCCTGAATCTTCTGCTTGAATCCTCTGCCCATAGCTGATCGATAGGAGCTGGACTCTGGCCCTAGCCACCCCTCAGGACAGCTTGACTATTGGCCATAGCTGATGTCAACAGTACACTCCTTCAACACACCATCCTCTTGGCCATCCAGCCCTGAGTACTGTGTGGGGGTAGATGAAGTGGAGTGCAAATCTAGGGTCCAAGGACACGGAGGTGGGGAGATCCAGAGGGAGAAGGGATGCAGGGTATCCTGAGCCTGGTATTTGGGGAAGGGTTCAGCTTACACCTCTCTCTGGCACCCAGGTGGCTTCCAGATCCACCTCCAGTCACTAATTATCTATGTGAGGCTGCATAGACCAGAACTGGTTTGGACTTTGGATCCCTCAGGCTGTTAGAGGGGACAATCACTGACCACTGACTGGGTAGACAAGTGTTGGGCTTGGGAGAAAGCTACCTCAAGCCCTTTATGAAACCTGGGGAGGGAGGACTTCTGAACCCAGACCCATCAGTTGAGTTGGTGCTCCGGGTGGCAGAAGAGTGTCAGGAGACAGGTCAGTCGGGCACTGCTGAGTCATAGTGAGCTCCAACTGCCCCAAGTCCTGCCATGGCCTAGCTGAGGCTGGCTACTGTGGGTCCAAGAGGCCAGTGCAGCCAGGTGATGAAGGGCAGAACACAGGGAAGGGCCTGCACCTCAAATCTTAGGGTTTTGGGTCTGTGGCTAGAGGATCAGCAGGTTGAGGCCCAGGAGTTATAGGGGGGACTACAAGGGCTACAAGGTCTCAGGGCAAGAGACACACGTGAATTCAGGCACCTGTGAAGAGAAAAGGGAATGGAATCTTGGCATTCTTGAGAAGCAAAATAAATAGGTTTAGACGTCTAGGGGGAGGGAGGCAGCCCAGGAACCTGTGACACATGGAGGTTGGGGCAGGATCAAAAGATGTTGAATGGGTGGGACTTAGGAGTCGAGGGGAGGGGCCTGTGAAGTGGGTGGAATCTGTGGAACCTAGGTGGAGTCTAGAATCCGCGGGGTCTGGGTTGAGGGGTGAGCACCGAGGAAGGATGGGGGAGTCTGAAGTAGGGAGCGAGGTGAGGAACCAGGGGAAGGGTTGGGGTATTGGGAGTAAGAGAAGGGACTGCAGAGCTGGAACCAGCTAGAACCCTACCTCAGAAAAGACCACAGTCTTTGAGGTTCTCCTTGATGATTATGTCGGTGACAGCGTCAAAGACAAACTTGACGTTCTGTGTGTCTGTGGCGCATGTCATGTGTGAATAGATCTCCTTCACGTCGCGTCGCATGTTAAGCTCGAGGAACTGCACTTTGATGTAGTTGCCGGCGTCCTCGTACGTGTTCGGCCCTGCGGCAGTTGGCAGCGCTCACTCCCCTCCCCGAGACCCGGAAGGAGCGCGGCTGCAGTCACGGGGGCTAGGGTGCCGCCTGGCGGCCGGGACTAGAATTCTCACCGTCGTAGTCCGGGAAGCAGATGGTGAGGTGTGCCTTTTTTATCTTCTCGGAGAAAACGTCCTTCTTGTTGAGAAACAGCACGATGGACGTGGTGGCGAAGTACCGCTGATTGCAGATGCTGTTGAACAGGTGCAGGCTCTCGTGCATTCGGTTCTGGGGAGGGCCCCGGCTGTTAGGCACCAGGCAAAACAGGCAGCTGCGCCCTCGCGGGCCATGGCCAACAGGCCAGGTCTTCGGTCCTGGGCTCTGGACTCGACCCCTCCCATTCTCAGCCGCTCCCTCGAGCTCCACCTCCCTTCTCAAACACTCGGGCCCAGCTTGGCACTCACCACTTCCTCATCCTCCACCAGCACCATGTCGTAAGCACTCAGCGCAGCGATGAAAATGATGCAGGTAACACCCTCGAAGCAGTGGATCCACTTTTTGCGCTCTGAGCGCTGCCCGCCGACATCGAACATTCTACGTGGCAGAGCCAGGGTCAAGATTAAACCCCCACATCAGATCACCTGGTTGCGCCCACTGGCATCCCCTTCTTATGCTGGCTGGGGAGCTCTCAGATGGACTGGCTGTTCTCCTGGCAGGGGTGGTACCGGGTGTCCGGGCAGTGAACTTCCTCGCAGGCCTGCTGGGCAAGAGTGCGGTGGTTTTACCTGAAGTTGAGGTCCTTGAAGGAGAACTGCCTCTCGATGATGCCAGTGGTTTTGACACGGGAACGCAACACGTCCTGCTCAGTGGGCACATATCCTGGGGTCACCAGACGCTCCAGGTCTGAAAGATAGCTGAGGAGGACTTCAGGGTATGAGTAGGTGGGTGGTATGTGTGTGTGATCACCCCAGGAAGGTCCTGTCTACTCGAGCAGTCTCCCCCCTTTCCCTGCTGCAACCAGCTTGTGTACTCACTAGCCAGCAGAATCGTTGAGCTGGTACTCGGAGGCTCGATCAAAGCAGGCCTGAATACCTGAGTCCTTCCACAGTCGCTGGATGATGTCTGACATCTCCTTGGGCATTGTGCCCTCCTCGATAGTTTCTGCCACGTGCATCAGTTTCCGGGCATCATCCTGGGGACGGGTTAGAATGGTTGATAGTGATTATGGACCTGAGCCCAGCCAGGCACCTTGAGTCCCTAGGGACCATTATCAGCCTGCTTCTGATCTTACCTGGCAGGCTGAATCTCCGTACTGAATATTGAGAGTGGTCATGGCCCGAACAATGGCCAGGATGGACTGCAGAGTGTTGCCATAGATGATGGCAATGAACTCCAGGCATTCTTCCAGCGAATAACCATCCTGATGGATAATCCTATAGCCAAGACCAGCAGAGTCAGAGCCTCCTGGGTCGGTAGGGAAAGATACCCACCTCTAGGGGCCTCAGGATGGGTAGGGAACACTCACTTCATCTGCTTGACAATGGTGCTTTTCCCGGACTCACCAGCACCTGAAAGGGAAACTGTGCCTCAGAGCTGCTTTGACCAGCAGGGACCACTTCTCCTGGATCTGAAGCCCATAGTCAGTCCCAGAGCACCAACCAAACCTCTAATCAAATCTGCCCTCATCTTCATCTAAAGTAAAATCTCAAAGTCCCATGGAGAAAAATGTTTGTAAATGACAAAAGGAACCCTCATCAGGAGTATGAGTGACTTCTACTGTTCCTAGAGGGAGTGGGGAGTGGTATATAGAGCCTTTAGTATGCTGTGAGACCAAAATAAAGAAATCCTCCAGCCCTTCCTTCTGGGGATCTCTGATACTGCATGCACAGGATTATTGAGTGGGATCAACCTCTGCTTTTCACCTAAAGGCTAGAAGTCTCTGAGAGGCTCAGAGGAATTAACACCTTTAGGTGGGGGGAGAGGATAGGCTGACATCCTTTCTGAGCCTGCCCTCCTGAAGGGTATTGGATACAGTTAATGGGATTTCCGGCTTAGCCTCTCTTGCCTTCCTCTTGAGGACCCTAGCTTAGTACCTCTGTCTACCCTCCTAAAGCAACAACTTTCCCTTGGGGGTTGAGCAGCAGTGGTGCTCCCATCTCTCCTCACTATGAGATCATGGACTTGACTTTCTGTATTCCCAGCAGGCCTTCACAGGTCTGCCAATAATAAAGTTCTGGCACCTGAGTGCCTTTGTCTATGGACATGGGTGGTCCTAGAGGCTCCCTGTTCCCAGAAGGACTAGGACATAAATCCCAAGAGAACAAGCCCATGAGCCCAAGAAGGTCTGAGCCTTGCTAAGCAGGCCTGGAATGCCAAAGGCTAGAGCTTGAGGGAATCCAACCTGGGTGAAAGTATGCCTGAACACACATTTGTACAAAGGTATGGTTGGCATACACTTCTACAGAGAGGAGTGTTCTTAGAAATTGTTTCTGAGCTGGGCATGGTAGCGCACACCTTTAATCCCAGAACTTGGGAGGCAGAGGCAGGCGGATCTCTGAGATCAAGGCCAGCCTGGTCTACATAGTGAGTTCCAGGCCAGCTGGGGCTACAGGGGGACCCTGTCTCAAAAAGACCAAAAAATAAATAAATAAATAAATAAATAATAATAGTCTCTGAGATACCTAGCCATGGGAGGCTGGGACATAACCCTGTCAGGCCTTACCTGGTAAGAATACCTGCTCTGTGTCCTGCTCCATAACGTAACCATTCTTTCTCCCCCATGGAATCCCTGCTTCACCAAAGGGCTGTCTGCCTGGCCCCAGGCTGCTGACCTGCAGCATTCCTGCCACCCACACTGGCCCACACCCCTACCCAGCAGCAGCAGTTTCACAGTTCGAGCATCCTTCTCAGCATCCTCTTTCAGCTTCTTTTCCAGCTCCCTGGAGTGTTTTTCCTCAGTGCTGGCCCTGGCCCCCATGGTCCCTGAAGCAGGCAAAGGTACAAGGTGGGCAGCTGGCTTTTTTGGATGTAGGAGATTCCAAGAGCCTGGCTCAGGCCAGCCTCTGGCCTCCCCAAGCACCCTTCTGGCTCTAAGACTGGCAATCGACTGGCTCTCCACAGATCTGTGCAGGCCCTGGTGGGGCTGCTTAGTGGGATTTGGGAGATAGGGGTGCCCAAGGGCCAATCAGAGACAAGGACAAGTGAAGAAGCTAGCTCAGTCCCCTAACCTTTTAATCAGGCTGGCATGGCCCTAATCCCTTGACTGCTGACTCTGCACCCCTAATTTTCCAAAAGGGACCCTGGACAGTCTTCCTTCCCTACAGGAGACTTTTTTGGCAGAGTTGAAGGAACAGACCCTTCAGTCTTAGAGCTGGGGAGCTGGGGACAGGGACAGCAGGAAGGTGCAGAGGGAGAATCTGGCAGAGTATCTACTGCCCACCCAGCTGGGTTCACTGTTACTCCTTATGTTGCCATTAGCTCACACTGATCCTGAGGGATGGCTGGTCAGGTCATACCACAGCCCAGTTTTAATTATAAGGAGGGGAGGCTCACAGGGTTGCGTGACTGGCAGTGGTTCAGAAGAGCTGGGTGACTCTTGATGGGAGGAGTCTATGCTTGCTGAGAAGTCATGAGGGAATAGATGACTACACTTGCCCCATATCCAAGGCTGAATGTAACTCTGAGCAGGAACTCTACATGATTCTAATGGACACTGGTGGGTGAGTGTTCCTACTATACATGCCTAAATGTGTCTTTTTTCTTTTTGCTTGTTTTGGGTTTTTGAGACAGGGTCTCCCTGTGGCCCCCAGCTGGCATGGAACTCATGATGTAGATCAGGTGGCCTCGAGCTCATAGTTCTGCCTACTTCTGCTGGGAGTAAAGGAGTGACACCACACCTGACTTCCGAATGTGTATTTTTGTTCCTTACTAGGACCAAGCAAGGTAATGACTAGACATATTTGAGCTTATATATCCACATGTATGTGTGTGTCCTCGCACTGGGGATCAATCTAGGAAGTTGTGCATACTAAACATGTGCCTTACTGCTGAGCTATATCCCAGCATCCTGTGCATGTCTCTTTATAGGCACATGTATTTGTATGCTTATTTTGCAGTGCTTTATGGGGGTTCACAGGTGTGTATGTGTGCCTGAATGTTCAAATGCATGTGACTGCAACACACACTAGAGTGCAGTTGCCCAGGTGCATTTGAGTATACTTATGTCCTTCCATGTGCTTGCATGTGTGCATAATGCTTGCCTGTGCCTGCCTATGCACATACATTTGCCTATGAGTACAAGCATATTTTGGTGCAACAAAATCTCTAATCTACAGAGGTGGCTGGACTCTTTGAGTGAATCTTTGGCAGGCCTATCATCAGATGTGGATGCTGAACTCTAGTGCAGGTTTGTTGTTCCCCAGAGTGTGGAGCATGGAGGCTCATCTGCCCTGCTTCTATTCTGTCCACTACAGGTGATATGGAACTTTCCTGGGATATCTCTAAAACCTGTCTGTCTCTGTTCAGGATTCTGGAGCCCTGCTCAGGTGCAGCGCTGAGCTCCTAGGTTCAAGAGACTTCTTGCCACCATCCAATGGGCTTTCATGGCTCTCTTCTAGTTCAGAGCCTCCTTTCCCGAAACCAAACTGCTCTGCTGCAGTCCACAAGGGGGTGCTAGGATCCCAGGCACTGAGTGTGGAGCTGTTTCTAAGCAGGATGTGTAGGAAGTAGATACCATAAGCTAGCATCTTTGGCAGTCACTCTAGGTGAGGGGAATCTGTCCAGGAGCAGGACTTCATCTGTGCCACTTTCAGTCTTTGGGCTCAATCCACCTTTACCCACACTGTAAGTGGGGCCCAGTGGTCTCTGTAACTAAGGTAGCACAGGGGCCCTGGCTTGTTAAACCAAACCTTTCTACATACTGTGGTTTTTTTTGGTCTTTTTGAGACAGGGTCTCCCTGTAGCCCCAGCTGGCCTGGAACTATATAGTCCAGGTTGGCCTTGAACTCAGAGATCTGCCTGCCTCTGCCTCCCGAGTGCTGGAATTAAAGGTGTGTACTACCACACCCGGCTATTTTCATATTTTAAAAATTTTTTATTATTTTTATTTTATGCATATGTGTATATTGCCTGCATGTAGGTATGTGCACTCGTGTCGTGCAATGCCCGCAGAGGACAGAAGATCCCCTGGAACTGGAGTTACAGATAGCTGTTAGCTGCCATGTGGGTCCTGGGATTCAAACCTGGGTCTTCTGCAAGAACAGTCAGTGTTCTTAACTGCTGAGCCATCTCTCCAGCCCTACATACTGGTTTTTTTAAGTGTGGCCAATCCACTGCCTTCCAACTCCCCACCTGGCTCCACTTTCCCACCAGGTGTGGGCCTAGCCCACCCCCACTCCCACCCCCAGCACCAAGGAGAGAAACCAAAGTCTAGTCCCAGAGCCAGTGTTTATTAGCAAGATGGAACCCAAGAGTGGCTGTGGCCTGGGTAGCAGAGGGCTTCCAAGAGCTCCTCCCCCCACATCTACCCAACTGCCCCCAGAGCTATTTACACCCATCACTTGAAGTGGTGAGCAGAAGGGAGCCCTGGGGAGCCCCTTTAGGCCCTAGACCTCTACTATGGCCCATCTATCCTCAGGGATGGGGAGCTCCTCTCAGTCCTGCCTGTATCAGGCCCCACTGCTTCTCTCCCCATCTGAGTCAAGGTGGCACAGGAAAAGCTAAGGAGGTAGAGTGGGTTGGCCCTACCTGAGCAGGCAGGGAAAGAAGGGGAGAAGGTCCTGCCCCACCCAGGCACACTTCTCTTTATCTGTCCCAAATAAATAGAGAATAAATACCTGGGAAGGGCTGGCCCCTGAGCTCCCCTGACCCAGGTAAGGGCCCATATCCCTATAACGGCCCCTTCTTCCCTTCTTTGAGTGCCCTGAGTCCCCAGCCCCAGACTCCACAGCAGTCCTGGTGTCCACATCTATGCCACAACACAGCTGACAACACACATCAGCAAAGGTGTATGGTCCATGCCCTGGCAAGTAGGGCTTGCTCCCTCCCTGTGTTCTGTAGATCTCGGCGGCTTGTTGAGCAAGAGTTCCAGCGGAGTCTGGGGACTGTGTGGTCCTGGCCCAGCCCTGTCAATTCACTGGGCCTGGCTGCACATGCTCAGTCATCTGCCATTGCTGACCAGCATGGGTCTAAGTTCTGGATGATGCTGCCACTGAGGCAGGCTATATACAACCCACCAATAAATACTGTCTTTGCAGGGGTAGGGTATGTATAGAATATAGATATTTTATATATATATATATATATCTTTTATATTAAAAGGAACGAGGGCTAGGCTGGCCCTACACAGGCCTCCAGCAGCTGGCCTCATGTGTCTGGAGGATGGTGCCGACGGTTTCGGGGCTTTTTCTGGTCCTGGGGCTCAGGAGGCCTGAATGCTCCTGGAGCCTCCCTGGGGTTGGGGGGCACATGACGCCAGTAACCCTGGCAGTACTGGTGGATGAGGCCCACTTCCGGCTGGGCTAGCAGCTGGGCCAGCTCTTGGTAAGGAGGCGTGGGGAGGCCTGCACCAAGGGGTGGGGGGGCGCTCACAGCCAATGGGGGGAAGAGGGCAGCATGAACGGCGTCCTGGCCCAGTACATGCAGCTGCACCCGCGTGATGATGTGCTTGAAGTTGTTCTCAGTGGCTGTGCAGGAGTAGAGGCCGCGATCACCAAGCTGCAGGGCACGAAGCAACAGCCCCTGCTCTGTTCGCAGGAAGCGGTCCTCTGCACGAATCTGCAGGGGCAGGGGTGGGGGCTCAGGGGCTGGGTCACCACTCTGCTGCCCTAGCCAGCTTCCAGATGAGACCATTTTGTGATCATTCCAGGTAAAGACACCCACATGATATTTCCATTTCCATATACCAAGAAAAACCCATGTGATGTTTGCACATGAGAGGGTTCTGAGTAATGTATCCACACATTTTCCACTTCAGGAGGAATGACCCTAGGAGGGTTCTGAACAATGAATGAGAAAATTTTGGAGCACACAAAGAATCTTCATTTAATGAGAATACCCAATTGCGGCACCCACAAAGCATTTCCATGTAAAGAGGGACACCTGTAAGACTTTTCCAGAAAATATCCACAGAATTTCCATATACTGGAGTTCACCCACATGATGTTTCATACAAAGAGGTATACCCCAACAAAGTACAAATATGGAATTTTTATAAAAAGAGGCCAAACTATAAATGGTTTCCATATACTGAAGCCTACCCCACAGTTTCACTCAAGTGGCTGCCATGTAGAGAAGGGAATTTGGAAAGGGTTTCACAGAATGCAGGCTGCCCTAGGTTGGCTCCCATACTACACTTCTCCCAGTGGAATTTCCACTGTACAGATTCCCATGTTTACAGTGCAGCATTTGGAACTCAGGAACTTACCTCACGGCGCCGGTCACTAGGATCTCGTTGGAACAGCCACTTAACAGTGGCTTGGGGTGAGCGAGGCTGGCACTCAAGGAAGGCCGCACTGCCAGCCACACCATATTGTACAGACTCTATGGCATTCTTGTTGGCTGTGGATCAAGAGAACCCTAAGTGGAAACAGTATTGCCCCTGGGAAGTTTGCTGACTGGGGAGGAGCAGGCATCGAGGGACACCCATTCCAAAGAAAGAACATCATTCAGTATCAGTCCCTTTAGGGGGTCACATAGGACACCCCAATCCTAGCCACAGGCAATCCTACCACCCAAGGAACCATCTGCAAATCCTTACAGTGGGGGTCTGTGGGAGTTCTGTAGGCTGTATAGAACTCCAAAGCATGACGAGCACCCAGCAGGGAGATGCAGCATGCTCACTCACCATTTGAATTGAACCCGCGGCACTGCCTGATGGGGTTCCCATGGCGGACGTCCTGCCGGCGACTCCGCCTGGATGAGGATAGCTCCTGAAGGGGTGCTCTTGGGAGGCTTGCTCCCAGGTTCCCATACCCCAAGACTCTAGGGTCCCGTGCCCCAAGGTAGTGATGTCTCACCTATAGCCACCCCCAACCAGGGTACTATCCACCTCCAAACTCCCAGGGCTATGACTGAAATCCCAAGGGTCTGGAGGGTCCATACCTCTTGGAGGATGCTGTGTATCGGGAACAGGCCTGGCCATCCCAGGCACAGTAGGGGTCCCTGGCGAGACAGCAGTCAGCACAGGCAGCCCCATATGCCTGGCAGCGGTGCAGGCTCAGGTGTGTGACACCCACAGCTGAGGCCACGTACAGTTGTTGCTGGGGGAAGGGACAAGGGTAGGGGGTTATCAGTTATTTTCTCACAGACAGCCCCCATCAGCAGTTAGGCTGGATTCTTTCTCTTTCTTGTTCCACATCTCAGTCTCCCCATCTCTATACTAAAGGAATAACCCCAAGAACAATGCTCCATCCTCACTCCCAGCCCACATTGCCAAAGACTCACCCTCTTAGAAGAGATGGTCATAGTCTTAACAGGTGCTGGTTCCTAGAAGAAGACAGGGGTGAGCTTGGGATCCTGAGGACCCCTCCCTGCCCTGGCTAAAGTTAGGAACTAGGTCAAGGTGTATGTGTGTGTCTGTGTGTGTGTCAAGGAGATGGCTAGGTGGTCTTATACCCACCTTGAAGACCTCCACCTCCTCCAGCATGAGCTCCTCCACCTCTTGGTCATCCTTGGGCAGCACGATGACCTTCTGCACTGTCCCGCGGTCTGGAACGGGCCGGGCAGGACCTCAGTGGGGCTGAGGATGCTGGGGAAGGGGCAAAGCCTCAGCCCCTACCCTACCAAAGCCCCAAACTCCCTAGGGCAGTGGAGCAGGGCTTCCATGCTGAGGTTAAGGGGCTTCCCTTGGATGAGGGGGAAAGAGTTCAGGGAGACTACCCCAAGACATAGTGAGTCATAGCCAGGGTCTTCTCCCCAGATCTTCATTTTGGTTACTGCTGAGTTGAAAACTGATGGACTCATGGTGGTGCACTTAAGTGTATTTGTGTCAGGAGTTAAGATTCTGTATCCTAGGTGCCTACCATGTCTCTATCTCTTTCATGTCATACAAGAGCTCCCAGGTGCATGGGAACCCCACTCTCCTAGGCTCTTGGGGATGAGGACAGGAGTGGAGTTTTCCCATCCCTAGTCTGGGCTACTCCAGCCAAGAGGAGGTTCCCATAGATGAAGTGACAGAGCTGACTTCAAGGAGTTTGCAGCAAGCCCTAGCTGCACAGGTTCTAGCCCCAGGTATAGCTCCTCCCACCCAGTGGGCCCACTATGGGAGGGTCTGAGATCAGCAGTGGGTACCTGTGCCCAGGAAAAGCACCTCATAGCGCCCATCAGCTGCATCCACCTGGTCCACAGCAACAGTGGTGAGGCGGTAGGGCATGCCAGTGCGGACCACCAGGGGTCGCCGCTGCAGCGGGTATACAGCCTGGTACATGAGTGGGTGGCTGCGCATGAAGTTGATCACTTCATCAGGATAGTCCTTGGTGGACTTCATTGATGGTGTAAAGGTTCCACCAGGGCACTGCAGACAGGTGATGAATATCAGTCCCAGGCTGCCTGGGTGGGGCACGTGGACCCCCTCAGCTTAGGAGAAGCCGCTGCTGTTCCCACAACTCTATCTGCTTTTCTCTCCAAACCCTTTCCTGCTTTCTGCCCTACATCAGATCTCTCCACTGTGGTCACAGTCCTATCAAATGGCCATACCTCCCTAGCTTCATGCACCATGACCTTGTGGCAGCAGTCGGCTGAGCTAACCCCTCCCTTCCCATGTCCCCATCCGCCCCCAGCTGTCTCCTTCCTCTCTGGCTGTCCCTCTGGTCTCATTGCTTTTTCCTGTGCAGCTGGCCTCAAGTCCTTGTCATACACTGGGCATACTGTCCTCTTCCCTGATGCTGTTCTCTCTTCCTGGGGCTTGGCCTGTCATCCTTCCAACTCCAACTTCACTCTAAGAGGAAGCCTTCCCAGTCTCCCTCAAAGACAAGCTTCCCCATGTCAATTCCCCACACAGTCACTGCACTAAGATCATGTCTAAGCTGTCATGCTCAGTCTCCTGTGGCAGATGCAAGTCATACCCAGATAAAGGTGAGATGCCTACAGAAACCATGCAGGTTTGACTCTGGCCCACTCCCCATTCTTACTGCCTATTATGAGCCAGCCAAGCTGACTTCAGGCCACCATCAGTTTTTGCCCTAAGAAGTCTTGCCTCTAATCTTCATCTCCCAAAGAGCCTCCCAGAGTACCCATCATGGGCAGCTCACCATACCTAGTCCCTCACCTATCTCACGATTCTGGATGGCTGGTTTCCTGATAGCCTGATACCATGTGTGAATAGTGGTTTTCTGAGTGTGTTGCAGTCCACTGCCCCTACTGACTGGGAACTTCATGATGGCGAGACCCATATCTACAGACATTCTGAACCCACGTCGACCTCTTTTGTTTTTTATTTATGTATAAGTGTAGTACATGTGTGTAAGTGCATCCATGTTGTACAATGCCCATGGAGGTTAGAAGAGGGTGTCAGATTCCCCTGGAACTGGAATTATGGACGGTTGTTAGCTGCCATGTGGGTGCTGGGAATTGAACCTAGGTCCTCTGCAAGAGTAGCCAGTGTTCTTAACTGCTGAGCCATCTCTCCAGTCCCCAAGTAGGCCTCTTAAACACAGAAGAGAGTCAGGAGTAGTGGTACATATCTTTAAAACTAGCACTTGGGAAGCAGAGGGAGGAGGATCTCTGAGTTTGAGGACAGCCTATTCTACATAGCAAGTTCCAGGCCAGCCAAGACTATATAGTGAGATGCAGTCTCAAAAATCAAATAAAATGATGATTAAAAAAAAAGAGAAAGAAGCCGGGAGTGGTGGCGCACGCCTTTAATCCCAGCACTTGGGAGGCAGAGGCAGGCAGATCTCTGTGAGTTCAAGGCCAGCCTGGTCTACATAGTGAGTTCCAGGACAGCTGGGCTAAAGGGAGACCCTGTCTCAAAAAGACCAAAAAAAAAAAAAAAGTTGACTTTCACAGCAACATAGACTGGTGTTTGAACAAAGAGCCTGGACACAGTGACATGGTCTAGGTCACCGGTATCTTCCAAGGAATTCCCCCATTTCGTTTAGGTCTGGTAAATGTGCAAGCACTTACAGAATGAGCTCAGTGCTCTGCCTTTAGTGATGCGGGTGGCTCCTCTCTCCAACTTGCTCAGTTAGCTGAAGCTGTGCTGATCTCCATTTCCTGATCCTCACGTAGCTCTGCTCTGCTCTTCCTCGGCTCATTCTGGCTTCAGTTTGTTCCTCTTCCAGGGTCTGCAAGTGGAGCCAACACGCAGAGGTCTCCTTAACGCTGTCAGTTCAACTACAGATCTCCCCGGGAACACGGCTGGGGCTGCGCCCCTCAGGTTTTGAGTTCTAAAATTTCCAGTTCTTCAGCTGGCCAATGATCTCGATCCTGAGGCCACTGTGTGACAGAGCCCAACGTGCACGTGCTGCACGAGGCTCATCGTAGGGCCGAGCACCTGGCTACTGAAGCGTGAGCTCCTGTGCTCTCGGAGCAGCGCGTCTTCTGCGCTGCTGGCTGCAGGCAACTGAGATCTACTTGGTGGTGCTGAATCTTCCCGTGCCTGTCGGTCCTCAGCCTCCTTTTCCTGCCTGCTATGACAAGGACTGTGCTACCAACTTTTAAATATTTTTTCAAATGTCAAGTGAGCTAACAATGCTTCGACAGTAAAGAGAAAACCACACTGAAATGTGCACACACAGCATAATGGCTGCCTTGTAAAGGAGTGCACACACAGGCCAGGGGAACCTCGCCACACCCTTCAGCGAAGGCTTCCGGCGTGCAGCTACACTGCAACTGTAGTTCCCAGTTTGGTAACAGAAGTCCATTACTCTGGCATTTTGTAAATGTTTGCAGATTTCTAGGCGCTGGGTTTCTTCAGGACACCACACCTGTGCCTGCCACACACTAGCCCACTCACCCACCTCCTGGTTTCCATTTCCTCCTGGGAGAACTGCCACAGGTACCGCAGAGTCTCAGACTCACTGGAGCACAGCAGCTCTGAGAGCACCAGAGAAGCCTCGCAGGTGAGCTGAGCGCAGAGTGGAAAAGTGAGCTGAGACTGAAGGCCAGGGAAAGCCAGCACTCCTAAGCCGACTCACCAATGAGCACTCCCTCCTCTCATGGCGCCCCTCAAAGCCCTGCTCCTTCTAGACAGTGGAACCCAGGGTTGGGGACGAGGCCTCTGGTAGAATTCACTAGCTGCCCATCCTCTGCAGCCTGCTCTGGGAGGAACTTGCTTCCCACACCAACCACACTGATGATAGCCACGCCCTGCCACATGCAGAAATGTCCTCTCCAGGAAAAAGCAAGTGAAGCTAAAAGGCATCCAGTGCTTTTGAGATTCCGACTATAGAAATATAAAAGTAAATATTCTTAATGTCCCTAAATAAATACACTGTTTACTCCAGTCCCTTTCCATATTTGCTTTCGAGAGCAGTGCAGGAGACGCCAACACACAGAATTAAACAACCTGAGATTAAGCTTCCTGAGACCCACTGTGGGATGTCTTCATCTTTCAAAGCACAGTCATTCCTCCCAAGTAGCCAACTAACATTCAATTACCTGCAGTATCAGCGCCACGTGCCTGGTCAAAATTGCTTCTATAGTGAAGCAGCAAAGATGCATCCAGGAGGGGAGAAACGTGTTTCTGTTTTTTTCTACCCTGAAAATATTTAAACTAAAATTCATTATCTGCTTAAAATGTGCAATTCAAGGTGATGGAATAATGTTTCTTAATTTTAAGCCAAATTTAACATTCTTGAATACGATAGTCACTGTTTGAAAAGTACAGGATTTACTTAAAAATTATACCATGTGTCCAGGAAAAAAAAACTAAAAAATATCCAGCAGCAGCAGAATGGTTTCATGAATTACACAACATTATTTCACAAAATACCACCAGCGGGAGGCAGAAATGATCTTCACAAAGATGCCTCAATAATACAGAGAAAAGCACATGCTAACCACAAACCAGCACTCAGCATGCCGCACGCTGTAAGCTGTCAGTCACACATATACAAATGGGCAAAAAGCACTCAGAGGGACACCAAATAGCTGTCACCCACAAACAGTGGGCCACCCCCACCACCCCTCCCCACACCTGCTGAAGGTTGTTGCAGTCCAGGAACCTGAGTGGCCCCTGAGCCAACACAAAGCAAACAAGTCTTTGAGCTCCGGCTCCAGGCTACGAGCCACCCCTCCTCCCAGTCCAGATCAAGACACTGGGCACCACAGGAAGAGAGCAGGAAGTGGCAGCCAATCTGCTTCCAGTCGGCAGCCTTTTAGGACCACCCAGGCCACTTCAGGGACCTGTCCCAGGACAGAGCAAGGGAACAGGAGGGCCCAGACCCACAGCTCAGCACACAGAACTCCGTGACACTAACAAAAGCTGAGCCAGGGAGAGGGCAGGCCCTTGCAGACAGCAAGCCCTTCTCTCCTGTGAAGGAAGAGGGTGGGGAGGCCCTTGCCATGCCTCCAAGACACATCTCAGTAAACGGAGGAGAAGGCCCACACTGGAAGGTCAAGCGCTCACTTATTTCTTCACGTTTCAGACTTTCCAAAGCGTCACAACCACCACTTCTCTAGAATGGATTTAAAGTCATGGTTTTTAATTACACAAAAACAGACATGCTTCTGTGGGTACCTGGCCAGGTTCCTACTGTGTACTGCACAACAAGCACGTAAACCAGTCCTGAGTTCAAGGAACAGGTGAACATCCAGGGTGTAAAGGAAAAAACAATATACATGTAAACTGAGTCACAGGAGCCAGAGGACTCACTGGCTCACCTGCCTCCCATCTGAACCCAGCCCCGTCCTCTTAGCTACAGTGATGGTGACGATGGTGCAGTGGTTTCCTCCCCAGACCAGCCTTCACCACAGCACTGTCACCCATTCTTCCCCTAACTAACTTCTGAGCGATACAGCTCAAAGTGCGCGTGCATGTGCCTTTCCTCGCCTGCAGAAGTGTCCATCGGGGACAGGTCCAAGGCAGGCCTGGGTCAACCATACACTGACCAGCCTGCAGTCCAGGACAACAGTCCCACCTCCCTGCGGCTCTTCAACACACAGTGAAGGATCATCAATTCATCCTTCACTGGCCTAGTTTCCCACCCACTCCCAAGGCTTCCACCCCAGAATATCATAC